AAAATATACAGATGGCAAAGAAGCACATGAAAAGGCGCTCTACCTCACGTGGTTTCAGGGAAATGCAAATTAAAACAATAATGAGATACGAATCTATACATATCGGAATGGTCAAAATCTGGAAAACTGACACCACCAGAGGCTGACAAGGATGTGGAACAACAGGAGCTCTCAAATATTCCTTGCTGGTGAGAATGAAAAATGGCACAACCACTTTGGAAGACAGTTTGGCAGTTTCTTGTAAAATTAAACATACCTCAACCATATGAACCAGCAATCATGATCCTTGGTATTTACCCAAAGAAGTTGAAAACTTATATCCACATAAAACCACGCACATGGATGTTTCTAGGAGTTTTATTCACAACTGCCAATCTTGAAAGCAACCAAGATGTCCTTCAGTAGCAGAGTGCCTAACCTGGGGTATATCCAGGGAATGGAATATCATTGAACACTAAAAAGAAATGAGCAATCGCCATGAAAAGACATAGAGGAAACTTAAAGGCGTATTACTAAGTGAAGGAAGACGATCTGGAAAGGCCACACACTGGATAATCCCGTCTATGTGACGTTCTGGAAAAGGTGGAACTATGGAGACAGTAAAAACCATGAGGGGTTGCCAGTGGTTGGGGGATGGGGAGGGATGAGTAGGTGGAACCTAGAGGACTTTTAGGGCAGTGAAAAAACTCCATATGATAATGATGGATGTAGAGTCATTATACATTTGTCCAAATCCACAGAATATACAAAAACAAGGGTGAACCATATGCCAACTATGGATTTTAGGTGGTTATGATGTATCAGTGCAGTTTCATCCTTTCTAACTAACATACCACTCTTTTATTACAGTTTGGAGGTGGGGATATTAGTGGAGGTTCTATTGTGTAGGGGCTGGGGGGGGTATATGAGAAATCTCCATCTCCCCCTCAGCTCTGCTGTGAATCTTACATTACTCTAAAAACAAATCTTATTAAAAAAAAAAAAAAAAGGCGTGGAAAAGGTAAATAGCAGAACAACAACAAATTATAAATGATTTTTTTTTGCTATAAGAAATGACAAAAATTTGTTTATATGTTTAGAACACAATACGCATGGGGTATGAAAATACTGTCAAATTATGACAAGATGCAAAACATTGACCAGTCAGCCTCAAATGGAAAACACACACACACACAGACACACACACACACAGACACACACACACACACACACACACTCCTGCCCAGTTAATTGTTGCCAATGAGGATGCACAGATTTTTAAAATGTCCACACATCGACTGATTTCATGAAACTTAAGTCTTAAAGGGACTGATTTCACAATTAGGGAGACTACATTTGTGTGACAACTTTTGAAATTATTTCTCTATTTCAAACATATTTTGGAAGAAAACCTGCTCCAAACGTTGGTTTAGTATTTGAGCTAGTGCATGGACACGAGTGTGGGAAACAGTGCGAGCCAGAGGCAAAGAAACATGGGGGGAAAGGCAGGGATTTATCTCAAAGCAGGCATGTAGGGGGCAGTTTGTGAAAGGAACTTAATGACTGCTTTGCTTTTGATTCCCTGCGTTATGTCTGGTAAAATTAAAAGTTCATCACATTTTAGTTCTTTACATTTTCCTACTTTTCTTAGAACTTGCCATATTTCATTCCCATTGAGTCATCTGTACATTTGCCATACAGTTTCGAGTAAAAAAAAAAAATATCTTCATTTAGGCCCTTGTTATGTTCTAGACCACGTGCTAAACAGTTGACATGCAAGGTTCTGTTAATTTTCATGAACATGTTGCAAAAGCAGTATTATTAAGCTAATTTTAGATGGAGAAACTCAAGCTGAATCTGCATGTGAATCTTACCTATAGGACTCAGAGTTCATTTTACCTTAATAACTGGTCTTTGCGAAGGCATTTCCTCCAAGTAGTGTGTTCTTCAGAAGATAAGGCCCAAGAAAAAAGCATTCTATGGTCAAATCAGCATGAGGACCATAGTGCACTGTATCTCCCTCTGGAAGACTCCCAGGACGCTCAGGATATCAAAGTCTCTGTGAAGTTCTGAAATAAAGAAATCCATTTCATGTTGTTTATCCGAGTACTTCACAATCTTTAGTTCGCTGTCAAAGAAGTGTGTGTGTGCGTGTGTGTGTGTGTGTGTGAGAGAGAGAGAGAGAAACATTTAACATTCCAGGACATACTTTGAGAAACTTTGTCTTAGAGTATACTGAAAGAGCCTTATTAATCTGAACTCAACTCATTTAGAATCCAGAAATATAAAGCTTCTTATAAGCGCTCAAATCTGTGTTTGTCACAATGAGGGTCATGACTCACTGGGTCATGAAAGCAACGAAGTTGATTCTGACCAGTACTGGAGTGGGGGACCCAGAAAACAATTAAGATAGAAAATATCAGAGTTGTTGCGTGTAGCACGTACTGAATCGTGAAATTTTTACTGGGTCACAACGCAAAGTACCTTTCTCTCTGTGGTCATGGCCCCAGATGTCCGAAGCCACTGTTCTCATGAAAGTCAGATGAATTGCTTGTTGCACTATTTGTGATGACAAATGCCGGAACTTTGTAAAATTTAACACAAAAAGGACCAGTGTAATGCCATGGCTAAAGACAGTATTTGTTGTTACTTCAAATCAGAATTTTTAGAGCTGAAATATCTCGTGGGGGAAAACCAAAATAGTTTGGTGGCTTTTCAAGTTCAAACAGACCAAGCTGGGCCTAGAACCCAGGTTTTCTGACTTGTACTTCCGTATTCTTTTACTTGTCAGCGTAAATTGATGTAGATTTTACTTATAGAACATGAGGATTCTTTCTTTCTTTTTTTTTTTTTTTAAAGATTTCATTTATTTGTCAGAAAGAGAGAGAGAGAGAGAAAGGCAGGGGAAGATGCAGGCTGCACTTAGCAAGGAGCAATGCAGGACTCATGGGAGGACCCCCGGATCATGACCTGAGCCACCCAAGCATCCCAAGGATTATTATTATTTTTTTTAATGAATAAGAAAACTGGGTATAAAATTCAGCAGATCACTCCTGGATAGAAAGTCAACGACAGGTTACAAACATGCTGAAGGGAAAAAGTAACTTAGCAGATTTCAGGGTTGGGGTCTAATTACAATTCCACACCATACTAACCTAATACCCTATTGGGGGGTCTTTAGGTTATCTGGCCATTCCGCTATCTGGTTTCTCGATTGTACATATCAGCGTCCCGTACCCATGATTTTGAGAAGACTTAGCAGATAACACACCGGTGACCACAGAATCTTGCTAGGTGTAAGTTAAAGAGGCAACCCTTAAATAATGAATCGAAGATTAAGAAACCTCCAGACTCCGCGCCATTTTTAAAGAAGAAAAGGAAATTTGATTTACCGAAGAATCCCTTAGCAAAATACGATCTTCTACACATTTTATCTTAGGTGGACCTTCTCAAGACTTCAGCTCAAGTTCTGAGGATTAGATCAGAAGTTGTGCCTGATCGCCCCCCTTTCATGGTCTGCTCTGGGGAGAGAGGACCCGAAACTGGTCAGAGGAGGGTGGAAATACTTTCCTTTCCAGCCCTCTGCTCCCAGCCTCTGTCTCCCTCAGTAAGTGAGCCTGGGCTTGGATTCCTGCAAAGTGTCTTCGCATCTTCAGGGCTCTGGACGCCCAGGTTGGTGTCCTCTCCCCCCAGGAAGCTTCAGCCCCAGTGGGCAGAAATCATTTGATAACTTAATCTTGGAGGGAGGAAGAGACGCTGAGGCCTGTGTGCTCCAGTGATAAACGGAAGCATCCGGGCGAGTCAAGAACAGACGTGGTATCTTTCCAGAGTACTACAAACGAGGGAAGCGTACCCAAGAACTGGAAGCGGGCGGGGACCACCCCCACAAAACGTGGTGGGCGTCTGGGGGGCCCCGCAGGTTCCTGGGGCTCCCTCCGGGGAGTCTCTTCCCGGGCTGGAAGGGCGCTGGAGGTCGGAGGAGGTGAATGTCCTAAAGCCCAGGAGCGGCCCGTGGACCCTCCCCCTTCCTATAATTAACTCAACGCGGGTCCCGCCAGGAGGGACCCGTGGCTTCCCTGGACCGCCCCCCTCCCCTAAGCCCGTCTGGCGGGGGCAGGAGAGGACCTCGGGGCGGCGGGACCCCCGCCACACGAGTCCCCACCTAGGCGGTTTCAAACCCCGACCCCGCTTGGGGCCGGCAGCCCGCGGGATCGTCCCGCTCCTCCCCACTCCCCGCCGTCCTCCCGCGCCGGCCGCGCCCGCCCCGGCCATCCCGGCGGGCGCAGGGGGCGCGGGCTCCGGCCCCGCGTGACGTGGGCGCCGCGGCGGGAGGGGCCGCCCGGGGGGCTCCGGCCGCCTTATTAGCGCCCGGCGGGTCGCCGGCAGCCAGCAGACCGCCGCACGGAGAGCAACAGGAGCCGCTCCGACCCGCTCCTCCCGCCTCCTCCGCCAGCCTCCTCCTCCTCCTCCCCTCCGGCTCCTCCCGCCCCCACCTCTGCGCGAGCGGCGGAGTCGCCCTCTCGCTGCCTCTTTCTCCCGCTCCCGCTCGCTCCTCTCGCTCGCCACTACTTCCCCCTGCTGTGCTCCCGGGCGCCCTAGCATTCTCCGCGCGAACCTCAGGAACCAGTGGTGCTCGAAAAGCCCAGGGAAAGCCGCCTCGGGCAGAGATAGTTGGAAGCCCCCGGTCCCTTCCCCCTCTCCCGGCGCAGCCCGTGCCCGGCTCGCAGCACCTTCTCGCTCCTGCACACTCGGTTTGGGAGGACGGGGTGAGAAGGTGAAGTGGGAAGGACCGCCGAGCCGAGGGGCCAGTCTCAGAGCTCAAATTTCATTTTCATTGAAGCAAATCACAGAAGATCAGTTGTGGTTTTTTTTTTTTTAATTCTGCATTTTTTTTTCTTTTTCTTTCTTCCTTCTTTCTTTTCTTTGTTTTTTTTTTTTTTTTTTTTTAAAGAAACTTATTTTGGGGGGTTTGCTCTGGGCATTGGCTTCGCCCAGTAGTTGAAAAGTGAACTCGACTCGTGATGGTTCTCCTGTCACTCTGGTTGATAGCAGCCGCTCTGGTAGAGGTTAGGACTTCAGCTGATGGACAAGTAAGTGGAAAATAATAACAATAAAAAACTCAAACCCAACCTTTTCCCGAAAAAGTTCCTCCCCTCTTTCCCCTCCTCTCTTCCCTCCTCCCCCCTCCCACCCTTCCCTGTTATCTTGCGCCTTCAGGAGCCGAGTCGGAGCGCTGGGCGCCGCCTGCGGGGTGTTATGGGGCTGGGGGTGGGATTGCAGGGGTGGGTCGCGACTCCCACGCCGGGAGCCCCGGCTCGTCCCACCTAGCGCACCCCCCCGCCGTTGCGGCGTTCGTAACGATTCCTGGCGACAAAGTGCAGCCGATTCGCATCCTCGCCGGGCCGTCTGGGTTTCCCCGTTCCGGAGGGCGGTCTGGGCGCTTGAATGAAGTTCCGGACGCGGCGCCCGGGATCCCCGCGCTCCGGCTGCGGCCGCCCGCGTCGGGTTCGCGGGGCTTCCTCTCCTCCGCACTGACTCACCGCGTTTTCGGGCAGCGGGAGGCGGGGGTTTCAGGAAGTCCCCGGGCCGGGCAGGGAGCGATCCAGCAGACACGTGTCCTGGGAGGACCGCGGCCGGGCTGGGGTTTGACAGTTGGGGCGGGGGACTGGGGACGCTTCCTGCCCTGCGTTTTCCTGGGCAGAGGCTGGCGGCGCCGCCGCGGTCCTCCCCTCCCCCTCCGCACGGCTCCTCCTCCTTTAGAGCGGAGTCGAGCGCGGCTCCTCCGCTCCGCGGCCCAGCCCCCACGCTTTGGGGACTCTAGGTGAAGCCCGATGCTCTCGGAGTCCTGGAGAAGGCTGGCGGGCCGGGCCCCGCCGTCTGTTGTAAATCACATCAGCTCAGGGCCCGTGGGACTTGGGGCACAGGATTTCCCTGTGAGCTGTTGTAGCTTCTCCGGTCTGCCCGGTTCTGACCGTAGGTTAAGAAGTAGAAGATTGCCTGGTCGATTCTTGACCTCAAATCTGATCTGTCAGGCCCGCTTTTAGGTTTCTTTTCACGCCTATGAATACAGAGGCTTTCTTTGCTAATCCGCACCCAGTATCTGAGTTTTAAGAAAAGAATATTGAATGTCAGTATTTATTTTTGCTGGCTTTATAAATATTAAAATTAAAACGGGGAAACAACTCCCCGTTCCGAACTGTTATTAATTGGCTCATTCTCTTGCCGCAAGAACCTACAAACCTAAAGGCGCAGCCTTTAGGCACCAGTCCCCACCTCCGGCATCTCCTGATTAGCTTCTGAAAAGAGTTAATGGTAGAAATAAAACATACAAGGTGATAAGATGAAACCCAGTAACTGTTTCTTTTTACTTTCCCCCTCCTTTACAGGCTGGTAATGAAGAAATGGTGCAAATAGGTAAGCCTTGTTCTCAGATATCTTTCTTATCTTGGTAGAAAGCAGAGAACGAAATAAGCTCATTAAAATACTGTTTCTGAAATTTCTCCCATTGGCGGTTAAAAAAAAAATTGTAGTTTAGGAACATCGCTGTTCTTCTCTTCGTCTTTAAGGAGGAGGGTCCCAGTTTTCTCAGACAGAGTTAAAGGGGTATAAAAATTCTGCCATTGGACTTGTGATGCGTTAGTTTTTTACTGTCCCTGGACAAGCCACTGGTAGGTACTTGGAGGATGATGTAGAGTTTGGAAGAAGACATGGAGATAAGTCAAATCAAATCAACTCGTGTTGCCTAAAGACAAGCACATCTGATTAGAATGGGAAGCAAAGTGTAAGAATGCTACAAAGGGGGGAAAAATGAAAGAGGATGAAAATTTTTCTCTTAAAAGTTTTCCAGCTTTGTATTAGCTTTTTGATGACTTCTCTTATTCCGTATGCTTTACAATAACTATCTGCTAAGGTGCAAGATATTGGTATTTTGCAAATAATGTCCAAAACTGCAGGATATGGGAATTATTCCCATTTTATGGATGAGAAGACTGAGGCTCAGAGAGGATAAGTGACTTGGAATAGGTCACTCCAAAGTCCACATGATCTTTTTTTTTTTTTGAAACTATTTATAATAATATTTGTTCTGAGTTCAGAGACTGAAAGTCATCTGGCCAGAAGCCAAGCTCCATTCAAAGTCTTTTTATACACATTTAACTTGGATTACTTTAAAGATAAATTTTCGTTTTGGCAGAGTATTAGTCTAAATTCTGTATTTGTCAGATGATATTGTAAGGTCCCCTTTGAAATGAAAAGTTTTGATTACCACAAGCATAGTTACCTGTTATCGCTTGTGTGCGGTGCATGGGGCACCGTGTTAATTGCTTTGTGTGCATTGTGTCATCTATCTCTCACAAGCACACAGGAGGTAGAGACCCCATTGCGCCTGTTTCAGATTTGGAGAAAATGAGGCTTGGGAGGTTCTACAGCTCCCAGCTAGAGTGCATAGTGAAGAGCTGGGAGGATTCCCTAGTTGTAAACTAATGGAGGGACCCCAAGATCCAGGCCCAGAGCTGTCCATATGTAGCTGCCTCTCGTCATCTGTCAGTGTGCTCTCTTCCTGTGCAGTGTTTGGCTTTGTTGGAACTCTTCTCCAAGCTTAGAGCTCCGTTGTAAGGTAGGACAGAGGGGAGGACGGTGACCGAGAACTGCATAAAAAAATGCAGTATCTGTGAAGAGACATTTGTTATTTGTAGCTGATAACATTCAGTCATGAATATATATTTTTTAAAAGAACGATTTTTAAAAAATCGTCAAACAAGTAGAAAAAAAAACTATCTTCTTTTTTTATTGGTTAAACATTTGATTACTTAAACATCCCACCTTTTCAATTTGTAAATTAAAAAACTGTGTTAAGACGGCCCACCCTAGGGGCGCCTGTGTGGCTTTTTTGGTTAAGCGTCCAACTCTTGGTCTCAGCTCAGGTCTTGATCTCTGGGTCGTGAGTTCGAGGCCTGCCAAAAAAAAAAGAATAAAGATTACCTATTCTTTCAAAGATTATCTGTTCTATAAAAAAGATTACCCATTCTATCAAAGGAATAAAATATATGCTTTGATTAAATTTTCTGATAGCATCGTCATGGTCTCCTGTAAGAGGCCCTGAGTTAGACTTTGGTCCAGTCCTTTTGTTAATATAAATACTTCAGTCGCATGTTTCTAAGAGAAGGAGGTGGTACAGGTGTGTTTAAATTTGGTAGAGGAAGATGACCAGCAGTGTGGAAGAGGGGATAGCAGGGGACTCTTAGATTGTGTTGCCGGAGATTTTCTTCCTCCCAAGTTCCTCTGATATATAGGGTTTCTCTCTTTTATTACTGTCATTTTTATTTACCATTTTCAAGTTGAGTGAAGAGAAGAAATAACGATAAAAATAGGTTCGATTCATGAGTCCTGTGATAGTGAACATGTAGCTATCATTCGGCTTTGGGAATATAATCATTTATGTAGCTCTTAAAAGGGATTTAAAAATACATTTTAAGAAATCTGTGTATAGGAATGAGATTTCTTTCCCTTGTCCCTACATGCAAAGGTGTTGTTAACCTGAAAGTTTGGTAAAATGCCCTCTTCTACATATAATTAAGTAATTTTTTCCCAAGAATTAATTGAAAAGTGGTTTTATATAACTGCTTGGAGGTGCAATTTGATTAATGGTATGATTAGGAAAGATTAATAAGGCTTGTAGAATTAATTATTTTTATTGGTCTCCAAATTGGCTAGAGAGGAGTGCATGGTTCTGAATGACTTCTATAAAATCTCATGTCTTGGGAAGAGATAACTGTAGATTAGTGACAAACTGCAAATTATTAAGAAGCTGAGTTAAAAAAATTAGTTTGCACTGAGGTATACTATGCATGCGGGGTGGTGCGTGTAAGTACACACCTTGCTGACCCTTCAGGAAGGGAACTTGCCTGTGTGACTAGCGTCTTGATCAATAAGTACAACTTTTTACACCTTCTTAGCACTATCCCCACATGATGGGTAACCACTCTCCTCACTTGTGACAGGACAGGTTACTTTTGCCAGTTTTGAAGTGTTTTTCATAAATATAGTCACGCACTATGTGCTTCAGAAAGCAATAAAAAAATATGTCTAATATGCTTCAGGCCCTAGATTAGGAAGGTTTTTATTCAGGTGGAGAGTAGGCGGTAGTGATGAGGGCAGGTGAGAATGTATATAGAAATATCTCCTATGTAGTGTGTGGGCCTTTTCTTCTTTCCTTCTCTATACACCGAGTGGAAAAATGCCTTCTTGGTATGTGGGAAAGTATGATTCACCCCAAGAAAATGGGCAAATAGGCTTTGAACTCTGACCCACTTCTCTGCTGCTTGGTCAACCAAAGAGGAGCTCCTTACCTCCCGCCTGTCTGCACCCGCACATACCTACACTCACACATGTATACAGACGTGCGCGTGTGTACATAGAGCTAGGTGTGTGAGTGTGTATGCATTGTGCATATATGTATAAGTGTGTTTCCTGACACACTTACTTGACATACTTCTGTGGTGTATCAGGGAGCGTTTTCATTCTGACTCAGAGTATGGCCTTGGGAAGTTGCCTAGGGTAATTGCGGGCAGCTGCCTGGCTGGTCCGATTGGGTAAGGACACATGTGGCTCAGGAAATAATCATGGTTCTGTAGAAACTGGAGATGTGTAGAATCTGCAGAAGAATGAATTCTCTGAGCCCTTTGTTTGCTAAGCTGCCCCACTCGGATACTGCCTGAGGATCATTAGAAGAAGAATCACTGTGAGGCTTCGGTGTTGGGCTGAGTTCCCTCACTTACCTCTCGGAATTGGGCATATCTATCTTTCTCTGCCCTATTTTTGTTTCCAAGTCTCAAATTCCATTACTTTTTATTCTTAACAAAATAAGGTTGCTAATCTTGTTCTCTCAAATATCCAGTTTACTGAGAAATATTGTTTCATCCTTTGCAGGTCTTTATTTGCTTTTCAAGGTTTAGTGTGAGTCACGTCACCGAGTCCTTGGCTTATAGTAGGCGTATCTACTGGTGTAGACCTCATGAGAACTGACACTTTGTTGTGATGATTGCTGTATCCCCAGTATATAAAACTGGGCTTGGTACCTTGTGAGACCTCAAATATTTGTTATTCAATGCATAGATCAAGTAAGCAGGGTATTAGATTGGGATTCACCTTTGTTCTGTCTTTTTGTAAATGCTCTTGGTCTGTGCCCCTCCCCAGGTTTAATTAGTCCCTAAGAAAATAAGGATGGTGATAATGGCTCTACAATTAATGATTCAGTGTTATCAGGACTCCTTGTGACTTCTCTTTGGATTCCACAAAGCTCAGGGAGCTAGGTTTATTGGTTTCTTACACTGTTCTGTTTCTGTTCAACAAGATTTGGTAAATTGAACAGAATTACGTGCAGGTTCGGAATGCCCACTAATTTTGCACTAATGTCTGCTTGAGATCATTTGCTCTGTTTCAGGCATCAGCGGAATTAAGATAACCTAAGATTAAAATCTCCCCTCCCAATTTGCCAGGAGCAATATTGAAAAGTGTGATTTAAAGGGGTTTAAAGGCTTAAAATTTAGAATTTTAACTACCTATATAACCATTATTCTTTCTTGTACCTAAAGATTATGCGTTTGACGTCATTGATTTAGCTTCCATCCCTCCATTGGGCCTCATGGTGGCTAATATTAAATGCTTTAAGCTTTGTAGATGAAGATATTATTTAGTGTGACATGTTAATCTATTACTAGCAATTTATTATTGCTGTCTAGCTGAAATATTTCTTCCTCATACATTCATTGTTTTTTCTTGCCATTGTACCAAATCATCATAATGTTGCTCAGAAATGTTAAGAAATCCCCATGGTCACTTCTGCTTCCAGTATGATTATCTCTAAGCATTCTTTGCTTGTGGGTAGCCAAGCCAGATTACCTTGGAAAGCCATTAGGGACAATTCCAAATTGCTTGGTAAAATCATGAATGGTTTCAATATGAAGGATTTGGTTATGCTACTTGGACTGGATATATTGACAGTGATGACTTAGATGGAACTCTTATGCCAGAATTTTGGGAACCTTCTCTTTGTGTTGCTCCAATAGAGATCAGCTTTTACTCCTGAACTGTGATGTGTGTATTATTAGGAATTGTTGGATTAATTCTTTTTAATTAGTTTTTCTTCTGAATATAGATGTTTTACATGTGCCCATTATAATTGTCTTCTTTAGTTTTTCTGTATTCCCCAGATTTCTGACAATCATCTTAAGTACCGAACTGTTACAACTCAGCATATTCTTACTCAATCAATCATCTTTCAGTACCCAGATTGTGTGGATTATTTTTGTATACCTGTTTTTGTTTTGTTTTCTATTTTAGTATAGTTTTCCATAACATTACACAGTCCTTATAGACATAATTTTAATCTCATTATCCTGATAAACCTTAATGTA